GGCTAATTAATCCCGCCACGCTAACGATAATTAAGGTGCCGCGACAAGGAAGGTGGACGCCCCGTGGTAAGTCACGAGAAAACGCGACCCGAGCCTCGATCTTATTATTCCTCGCGCTCGTATTCCCTTTTTTCCCTCTCTCGCACGTTTCCCCCATTTATTTCTTCTCGCCGTCCGTCACCCTGGCGTTTTCCAGGGTCCTTTAACCCTTTCTTTTTATCCCGCCGCCGTGTCCGAGCGTAGGGTGGGTTGGGCTAGGGGGAAAGAAACGTAATTATCGAATTGCACTGGAATCGCACCGTCGCCGCTCGGAGAGATAAAGAATTTCCGTGAGATCTGTAATCAGTCACCCCCCCCCCTCCCACTGACCCTTCATTAACCTTCAGGAATTTCAATTAAAACTTACCCTGAAACTATCGACGATATGTCCATGCTAGGTGTATATATGTATCTATGACCATATCTATCCACGTGCACTTGGCTACGTGTGCTGTGAATGTACAGGATGTTTTCCAAGGGATCCCTGTTATGTATGTACAAGGAGGTGGTTATACGAGAAACACCCTGTAGGTTGCCAGAGGCAGGTAGAGTCTAGAGGCACCTATTGGCATAATTGGAATTGAATTTGCTTTTACGAAATGCGGCGGCGAGCCTACAGGCCTGCTGCCTCGTGGACCACAGGGCAACGTGGTGCGCGTCCGGTGGCTTCGAGCACAAATGTGCAGTAAAGATCAGAGAAGACATCTTGCTGGTCCATTACGCTCTCTAAGGCTCTTGACTCTCTGGATAGGACTGCGTATGGTTAAAAAAATAATTAAAACGTGAAACACACGCTGACAGGGTAATTAGTGAATTCTGAGGGAAGAGTACAAGATAAGAAAAACTGTTATCAGTGAAAGGTCAATACCTCGTCTCGGTAGCCCAGGGAAATTGAGCCTGAACAAACGAGACGGCAGTTTGCTGAAAACCCCAAAGCTACGGCGACTTTCCGAAAGGAGTTTCGTTTGCATGCAAGAGAAGCAGGGAAGTTAGTTATGCGCGATCAGCGGGACGAGGGGGGAGGCAGGTGCGAGGGGAAACAGGAAGCGAGAGGGACGGGAATAGGTAGGGACAACGGCAGGTGCCGGAGAGCCGTTGGCCAGGGGGACCCACGGGGACCCACTGAAACCCACTGAAACCCACTGAAACCCACTGAAACCCGGCTTCGTTTTGATCGGGTTGCCTGAGAATGAAGCGGCGACCGCTGAATTGTGGCCAAAGCAGGAAAGCGGAATTATTGATTGGTCGCCGGACTGTTTCATTGGCCAGTGACTGCTAATTCAAGTAGGACTAATTATAGGCAACGGAACGAGAACCAATGGGTGGACGCAGGGGGATTCGCACGGATCCAAAATGCATTTGGCAAGTGCTCGAGGGTTTGGCCCAGGGTATGTTAAAAACTCAAATTAACCCCTTTACTACCCGCTCGGGCCAAAACACGAGTCCTACTTATTTTACCTCGTTTACATTTTTTTTTTAAAACCAGCCTCCGGGATACATTAATCCCAAAAAGCTTCCAGCTGCCAAGTGGTCCAGCGCACGGCGGTAAGGGCAGTCAGCCACGCCGAATCTTCGTGCTTTTTCATAAGGTTAACCGTGTCAACGAGAAGGAGGGGAATAATAAAGTTTGACCTGGAGCTACAAAAAAATCCCTAGTGGCGATCGAACGGGATCGGGTTGCCCGAAAGAACATACATCCCTATGGCAATTCTCTTGTTATGGGTTGGTACCGAAAAAGCCCAGGGTCAGAATTCGCCACTTTGCAAATTCAAAAATCCCGAGCGGTATTCCCGGCCGGTTAAGCTGACGACCGAGGCTTGTGTTTTCGTCAGGTTCCCACGTGGGATCGACAAGGAGGTAGCTGCGGCAAAGTTGACGGCGGGAGAATAAAACTGAGAGAGAGAGAGAGAGAGAGAGCATAAAAGGTATTTACGACCCTTGGGAAAATATAGAAGAGGGATGAAATAAATTGACTCCCCCTTCGTAGTTCCAGCAAGGAGACACCTGCTCGGCGGCCGACAGCACGATCTCCATTAACCCCCACGTCATGCACCTCGAGCCACGTGTCCGGGCTATGGGGTTTATGGAAAATTACGAACACATGGCGTCCTGCCACGACGCACGATCGATACCAGATACCGTGTAAAAAAGTATTCCCGACTAACGGTGCTGGAGCACCCCCCTTTCTTCCCGCATCGAGGAACAACAAGCAGAAATACCAAAGAACCGAGTGATTCGTCGACAAGGGATTTCGTAATTTCGCGCCAAAATTTCGGAGGCAGTCGCCGCTAAGGAAAATGAAGTCGGAAGAATTATTGGACAAAAAAAAAAAAAAAAAGGAAGAAGCACGCGCCAGAGACTCGTAAACTCATCCATTGACGAGTGACGCCGCCGTAAGCAGCTTCAGGAATACTTACGAGGCGGACCCGCCTCGTACGAATCATTTGACGAGGTACGCGTAGCCCTGGCATTCTCAATGAACGACGTGGTCGCCTTATCGAACCAGGTGCGGGACTATCGGTTTCTCTCGAGGAACCGCAAATTACCGAAAGAAGACACGTGGCCAGAAGCGGCTCCGAAATTTCACGTAATTTCATAATACGATTCTCATCTCCATCCCATTTAATCCGGATCTCGATCCGAAATCTGCCCATCCAATTAATATCCAATGGCGCTCGTACGAGGGAGACAGCTCGGAGGTGTTTCTTTCTTTTTTCCCTTGCAAATAAAAAAAAAAAAAAAAAAAACTCGCACGGTGAATAGACGTCGGGACGCCGGTGCACCGTTTCAAAAAGCCCTGGACGCCTCCACCGTCCGACCCATAGAGAGACACGAAATGAGAGGATGAATTTTCCATGAGATGCGTTCTCTTCCGGTGGCTGGAAGGTTGATGGAAGAAAAAGGGGTAGGAGGGGAGGGATGGAAATCTTTGACGTTGCGCCACGAAGAAGGAAGTTCGAAGTGCCCGAAACGGCGCGACGAGGCGTCAGGCTGCGCGAATCTACCGGGTGACCGCGAATCAGCGACTTCGTCCCGAGTACGAACGCGCCCGAGCGCCGCGTGACTTCTGTGTCGTCGGCCATTAAAATCCCAAAAGCCGATTTCGCTGATTCGCGCTTTTCCTCGAACGCGACGGAAGTTACGAGATAACCAGAGATTCCCAAAGGACCAAGAGGGGGAGGGGGGGGGGGGTCTCTGCTTGGCAGTTTCGCAAGGATCGCCGGGATAAACGGGAGGAGGTGGTGGCGGTTGTCCTGGTTTTCTCCTGGAAGTAGGAGAAATTGTCATTTTCTTGGCGAGTGACGCAACGCGCCAGAAGTAACCTTCGGGCAGGCGAACGAAGTTACTACGTCGATACCCGAGATAACGTACGAGAAAAGAGAAAGGAGAGACGAGGTGGAAGAGAGTAAGCGGGACGGAGGAATTCGCGAGCGCATCCTATTGTCTACGGGAGGATAGATTAGCAGGGCAATGAAGTGAATGGGCTGAATTTAATCGATGGATCTGCATAGCTGCTCCGTCTATGGCGAATAAAGCTCAGTGGCGTAGGGCCAGGTGGGCAGATCAATTCTTAACGCGAGAGCAAAGGCGTAAGTCAAGAGTGACTGGATTCGTAGTGGCCGAGTGGGTAGAGAATGGAAACGAGTGCGGTGGCCGGTTAGGCCGAGCGGCAGATGCAGAATCTTATTTACGTTGCTTATGGCGTTTCTATTGGGCGATAAGAAATGACAAAAGAATACGAGGCCGTTTGGCCATTTGTTTTCCTCGGTTACGTAACTGTAACTTATTCCTACGGTGACTGCTGCTCTGCTTGCTCGGCTGCCTCACTGCTCTGCTCAATGAATGATTTCCGCGCTGTAGTTTTACACGCACGCGACGACCCCGTGTGCGTGTGCACGTTGACCTCCGTGCTTAGCGAATTATTCACCCTAGTCATGAAAATTAGCCACACGGTATATGGGTTACTTAGAAAGCCATGACGAGGCGCGTGGGAAAAAAAAAAATTATAATAATTCATGACGTTTCAAGGAATTTTAATGGCCACGGCAGATGCGGTTTGCATTCGAGGAATTGACCTTGATATCCCGTGATTGAAATATGAGGGAGCCGGTATGACCGATTTATAATAAATATTAAGAGCGTACCATTGTCAGTTAACGTGGATAAATAAAAATTCCCTAGGATAACTTTGTACGAGAAACTTTTGATAGAATTTTTTTTTATGCAATGGACAGACTGCAGGGAGTTCAGAAATCACGAGTATTGGTGCAAACAAAAAATTAATAAAAAAAAGAAAAAAATTATGAAACGGATCACCTATCGAGTATTACACTGTGCCTATGGTATAGGATGCTTGGAGTTACGACGAAGAACTTGATACTCTCGTGTGACGGGATCATGTTCGTCATGCGATCCCACGTAAATGAATTCTCCAGTCATACCCAGTGATGCGTCAATGTCCGGGAAAGCGAATAATGGAAGATAAGAGTGAAATGGACGATTAGACAGAATAAGAGAGAAAGTAACGATTCCCCAATAAAATATTGATCGGTGTTCCTGAACTGCTTGATTTCTATATACAGTCTTACCGCTGCTGGTTTCGAATGGCGAACAACGATAAACGGGAGACGCGATCTAAGCGAGTACGCGGAACACGGTTAGATGGGAAAGAAGAAAAGAAAAAGAAAATCAGTAGAGGAGAAAGAAGAATTAAAAAAAAAGAACATAAAGTTAGAGAATCTTCATATTTCCTCCGGAAGTCTCGATACGCGTCATCCTGCTTCTTTATAGAATGCTGGAATGTCACGTTGGTTTGTTTACAAGACTGCCGGAGTTCATTGACCCCGAATCGAAGTAATTTCCGTCAGCGCCATCTTCGAAGCGGACGAAATCGGTACTACTTGGAATTAAGCGAAACGAATCTCGGGATTCAGTTGTTTTTGAAAATGCTAAGGACTCACCTATGACAGTGCTGGCGGCCACTTCCTTGGCTGCAGCTGCAGCTGCAGCCGGTCCATGGGCCAAGAAGTCGCTGAGCGACAAAGACGAAGCGATTATCTGTCGCTTCTCCTCGAAATTCAAGTAATCCAAGCTGTTGCTGCGCTGCGGTCCAGCCACTATGGTCACTGTCTTTCCTTGATGATTGTTCTCATTACGAGTTGGATTGTTCGGACATTTTTCCGTGCCCTCGGTGCCGCTCGCCGGCACCAGATAAACGCCGCTAACGCGTATGGACATTGCACTTTGAGAAATACAATCCTCCTGTACAATATAGAAGCTTTGTCGTCCTTATTTATTCCAATTGGCGGAACACCTTACGGATGCTTTTTGAATTCGAACATAATTCCCGCCTTTGATCGATACGATTGTCTGGCCACCTCCTTTGTGTTCGTCCTTTTTTTTTAATTTCCTTATCTCCCTTATCTTCTTGGTCTCTTCTTGCTATCCGCACTGTACGCGCTTCCCTTCCAGGGAAGGAAGGAAGGAAGAGCCTGCTTCGACTTGGAGTGGAAAACCTTTTTGCGGACTGTGGAACATAGTCCAAACGGAAGGAGGTTTCGCACGCTTGTATGGCACGTGGTGACGTAAAGATTAAATCCAAAATTTTCTTTGGCACTCGCTAGGGACTTAATATTTTTTATATTCCAGACGGATTCTTTGTGTTTTCTCTTCTTCCTTCTCCTCGCATTGGTCCAAGCCTTTACTTGCTACGTTGGATGGAAGTTTAGACTGACGCGTGTCAGATATTTGTTTTTCCTTCTTCTGTCTCCGCGATTAAAGCTGCTCCTCTTACGTATTATAATTATACAATGGAAACGCAATGTGATTGGCACAAACAACGTTCCACAGGAATATACGCACTTGAAACCGATGGCTTTTCCTTCTGCGCAATAAAAAAAAATCTTCCGTTACACTGCCCGTCTCTCTTGGAATATTACGAAACACTACACGGAGAAGATACGAACATATACATACACGTCAAATCGTAACGTGCTATGGAATACACATATGTCTGTATCTACAGGCGAGAATTCCTTTTGTTCGATAAGATTAAAATAAACGAACGGTCAGTGATGCTTCTATCTACGTTAGAGACGCAAATAATTACACGTTATTAATTATACCGAAGATACTAAAAGTGACGTCACAAAGCTCTAGGTAATGTCTGGTATAATTCGGCGATGAAAACTATGAAGTTTAGGAACCGCGAGGTTAGGTAATAATAATAGTTAAAGAGCTGTTGTTTTAGAAATATTTTTCCGCGAGCGTCACTCTTCGAATAACGACAGCGTTGTAAGGGAAACTACAGGAACTTCAAAATTCCGCTCTTGAGATTCGTGACGCGTTACACCTTTTACTAAACCATGTAAATGCACCTCACGAACGAAACAGGCTGAGAGGTTACCGGTTGGGATTGTTTACGCTGCTACGAATCAACGGCAACTAGAAGATGCAAAAAAAAAAAAAGAAGAAAACCTGTTTACTACGCCGTGATTGTACGTCTAGTTACGGGGATACTACGAGGAATTCGTGAATCAGTTAGGACGGCCATGTTGCCAGTATTTATTTCTATTTTTTTCGCTCTATGATTCATGCTTTAACACGATCCGATCGTTAGATTTGATAATTCTCGTATGTACAATTGTTTGAGTTACTATCGAAGCAAAAACGTATCTGTATTGCTTATTTTTTCGTTTATTTTAATGTCGTCAAACAAAGCATTTCTAACCTCACAAGACTGCTTGCATGTTGTTATATGTAGAGGAAAACTGTAGGGTTGACTAGGAGTCGAAAAATTCGACGTTAAAAATTCGAAATATGTCTCGTGTAGCGAACGTACAATGATTCGGGCAGTGAAAGGTTACACGGCAGGCTGAATCAAGTGGATATATTCACGACGAAGACGACGACGAAGATGAGGTTGACAATGGGAAAAGCACTGCTAGTGAAGTCAATAAAAATTACAAGAGAGAGTACATCGCGAGACACCTGGACACATTTTTAATAAACGACACACTGCCGATGCACCTAAAGCGATGCGAATTCACGTGAAACACACAAAAATGCGAAGAGAAATTGAGCTGGCAGGAATAATATAGGCGTAGGGACCGGCGCGGCGTATACACACAGAGGCAACACACGCGCACGCACTCCGTATATTAAATTCAAGTATTATCCAGGACTCACGGGATGGAGCCAGTTACTATCGTAGCACTGTAAAAGGACTGCGAGACTCGGCGCGTAATACGGGGACGGAATCGCGACGGAATATTACGATGAAATTAGAAAAACAAACGAGGAACGGCCGAGGAACGGCCACACCACGAAACACACACCGAGCGAGGCTCGCGAGCACTGAGGGCGGCCATGCGACGCGCCCGCCGCCACGCGGCTGTGTTTCGACTTTCAGCCACTAGAGTGTTAGACGCTATCCAACCTCCGAAGCGGACGGTACACGCCTATAACGTACCGTACGATACGGTACTACATTATATCGTGCAGCAGTATACCTAGGGAACAGTATAGAGTATGCAGTAACATTGCATGCGAAGTTATATACTATACTAACTATACTCTGCTCCACTAGAGCAGTATAGTATAGTTTAGTATAGTATAGTACGGTATAGTGTGGTACAGTGTACAGTACATTATGTATTGGGGTATAGCTAGGGCGCTCAAATGTATAACCTTCTCTCTCCCATCAATTCTTAAGATATCAATGACGATACCAATTTCTTTTTTCTTGTCCTCCGTATATGCTAGACTGTCATTAGTATGATTCACAATAAGTCTTACGTTGCAGAGGATCGCAGGATGACGGCAATGAGAATTAACGATGATTCAGCGACGCTCATCAATAAGCCACGAGCATTTTAATCAACAAGCATCACACTTGCGCTTAGTAACTATTAGTATATGATTAAGATTCTTAATGTAAGGGTAAAGAAATGTTTTCTTATCTTTTACAGACTGTCCTTTTTTCCCATTGAAAGGGCTCTGATCGAGGTTATCTCGTAAACGTACTGTTCGCTCGACCAGGGATGACGCGAACCACGTGGAATTTCCGTGGCGTCTAGACTCGCTAATTTAAACCGACTTACGAATCTACGGACGTTTCAAGACAGTCTAGTCGCTGTCACAACCATCTTCTGACATATGAGAAACACTTTGCTCGGTGCACGGCTTGCGTCTCGTTTACGATGAAAACTGGCTGGTATTTTTTTCTCGAGCTTGCTGTTCTCTTCTGCCTACCAGATATCACGCCGCCATTTCGCTACCTAATTCCTGACTTACCGATATACTCGACTAGTCGACTCTCACCCAGAGTGTAAGCGTCCATCAATCAAAACACATTAGCTCGCTTATCGCTGTAAACACTCTCCATACGAATGCCAAAACCTCTTAACTTGAAATTCGCAAACAGTAGCGAGAGCTAACCCCTCACTTTTTTTTTTAAGTTATGGAACAAAATGTGTCCTCTTATTCGTGCTTCACGTTATCCTCGAGGTCCTCGAGTACGCACAGAATGAGCGTCCCTGTCGACCCGAATTACATGACAATTTACAATTAAGTAGTAGACGTGTAATTAAGCCAAAGTGACAGTAGTACGTCAGCCATCAACCACAAACCACAGCTGGTATTGCGCTTACGCTCTGACGTGCTTTCACGAGTTCGTAAATGCATCAAATGCATCCCACTGCATTGGAGATGCGCTCATGCGCCAATTATGCATTCGAAACTGGTCATACGCGGAGAGTGTGCTAGGCTGTGGGACGTCTGACGAAAATAAATGTTTATACTGGGTATAAAAATAGGAAAAAAAATGTATGGCCGTCTTAGACTAGTCATGCTACAGAGTCATGCTAGGTGGAACAACCGTTTTTATTATTCCCTTTCGTATCGCTGCCATCTTTTCTCAATTGGCAGAAACGACGGCGAAATTGCGAACTGAAGGGGTAGTAAGAGTATAATAGTCTTGGTGCTTTATTTCTGACAATCAATTTAATTGATTTTGTTTTAGAGAGAAATAAAGCTCCCGGGTGAAACGAAGAAGAAACATTGGCAGAGATGCGCCTGCGCGTCAGGCGTTGGAAAAACCGGTCACCCCTCCTTTCGCTGGACGCGGCATCGCGTGCTTAACCTCAACCAAAGCTAGAAGCTGTAGAATTTCGTTAAACCAGTGTAGCCACACGGACAACACGTAAACTCAAAACTATATACGTGAGTGTTAAACTGTTATTCATTATTTGTACAATACTTTAATAAGCTTTATGTAAAATGGGTACTGCTTCTATTAGTTACTATTTCTTATATAATTAATATTATCAAACGTAACTACTGCGTAAATGTGGCGTGAGATTATTTTGGATAACAGAACTTATCAGTCCGCTGGAACGGGTTGTCGGGCAAGACCTAGATAAGACCTCGGTTGGCCCGAAGATGCCAGGAAATTAATGGCGCCAGACTTTAAACTTCGGATAAATTGACGAAGAGATTACTTTTCATATTACAGACTGGATTCCAGGCGCTGGCGTCTTCCTTAAAATTTACTTTTTCTTAGCGAACATTTATCGCGCGGCTGAATAATTCACTATCCAAATTTCTCCAGTGAGATCTTAATACGAAAACACCTGACTATACAAATTCGCTGCTCGAGCCTATAACTTCTTAATGCGAGCAATCCCGTTGATTAAATTTACCGAATGAACTAAATGATTCGTAAAAAGTTCCGCGGCTCAACACGGCTGCAGGTGAAAAGTGTCCGAGACGTAATTGAAAATAACACGGGAAATCGTATGCTGTCTAGCACACATTTTTCCTACGTTACCTTATCAATAATTTAACCTTGGATTTTTATCTCTATATAGATATCTTTGACGAGGCCGCATACACGTCATTCATACGTCAGACAGTCGATTCGAATTCTCTTTGCTGCGCCTCCCATTATTTTCCCTCTTTATATATCTCTTTTTTACACTATACACGTCCATACATATATATTCGCACACAAAGTGCATATATTCAAAAGCAATCCAATCGACTGATGGAGTCTCTCTATCAATACGGTAGCTTTTCGGTCCCTGATAATTCGCATGCCTACATATGTGAACTCTGGTAGCTACGTTGTTATTGAAACTAACGATACAGGAGTACGAGAAGAAAAAATTGAAATTTTACCTCGTGCAATTTGCTTTACAAAAAAAATTGGGCAAACGGCAGAATTTGATAATACAAATTGACAGACGGATTCGCGTCTCACCGAACAGTCGATTTTCACCCCTTTGGGTGGTCGTTAATTGGATCAAGACGTAATTGGTTCGTAAGAGGTAATTAATGGAATCAGACTTCAAAGGGCCTTGAACCTTGCGACCCATGACGTAACTCATGGGGGTAACTACAGTGGTCGCGCACAATGACTACCCCATATTTTAATAGACGTCCCGGGCATCGCGATGCTGTCACCAAGTCGACGCCAGGCGTCCTTGTCTTGAATTCATGACCAGGATTATTCTCAGCGTACTTTAAATGCGTCACAGGAAAGATACACATCCCCCTCCCCCCGGCCCCCACCTCACTTATCCTCTAAACGCTAAGGGGCACGTTACTCGGGAAAATGACGAGACTAGAAAAACAAATTTCCCATAAAAGATGACAAGCAGTCTCGTAAAGTTTCACGAGAGTTTTTCTAAGGAATTCTTTTTTGTCCCTTAATTTCATAAATTATCGATATAATGTAGAACACATGTGACGCGTCGGTTCGCACGATTTCTATAGAGCCTGTGTGAACGTAAGCTTGATGTACGAACTTGCGTAAAAAGTATAGCGACGAGTTAAGATTTGTAGAGCATTAATTTAGCTTTGAAAATATACAGGGAGACCATCAAAATTTAATCTATCGAAGATAAAAACAAATTTTTTTAATATAAAAAATGTTTGCAGCAAAATTCAAAGGGCGAAACAGTCTTTCGAAAGTCTCGTCGTCCAGCCCGAAGAAACGGCACAAAGAGAACAATCGCGGTTTCCAGCAGGTGTAGCTAGTTGCGAAGGCGCCTCGTTGTTTCCCGATTTCCTCCGTAACCTTGCAATTAGGATGCGGCTGGCAGGCGGCGCCGTCTGGAATCGCGGAGTTTTATTACGAATTGTTCGTAAGTGCCTGAAGGACATTGCAATGGGGGAAGCAGTTGTTGAATTTTTATCAAACTGGAAAGGAAAAGAAAAAAATGTTCGATCGAGCATAACGCACGCGGCCAACAGCCTTAAGGACTTTTAGATTGATCATTTCTAGTTACTTTGACGCGAAAGGCCAAATTCTTCGAACGGTCATCGATCATTCTTTATGCAGCTGGGCGTAACCTGCTTAAGGCTTCTCGCGTTGCGTTCGAGTGTGCTTCGCCGGCAGGCGAAATGATTATTGTGTTCGGTTAAATTCGTCGAACGTGCTCAAGTTTTGATCCTGCGAATTTAACAATAAATCGCTTACGACTTTGAGGCTCGTCGCGTAAATGTGCACGAGTCATGAGCTTCGTTGAAATTCTATTGGTCGCTCTTACGCGTATCGTCCGTGCGAATCGTCCTGCAGCAAACGTCACAGAGGTGCCGTACAGTCTGTACGAAAAATACGAGGAGATTCGAGATATTCAAGATTATCCATATCTCGCAAAAGTTTGCAATGCCAAAGTTTGTTTTTGCGTCGGTACTATACTATCTGCGAATTGGGTGCTCACTGCTGGCCATTGTGTTTAGAGAAAGTATAGAAAAAAATTTTTTTAATTTTTCTACATATGAAAATGAAAAAAATTTTTTCATTATTTCCGGCGAGAATTTTTTGAAAATTCTCACGGGGAACGGATCGATAGTCCAATCAGAAAATCGCACGGTTAACCGCACGAATTGCTTGGAATTGCATCCTTGGGCCAGTCGCCGTTGCATAAGACATTCGCACCGGGAGTCGTTTTTCTGCAAATACGGGATTACGTCGAGTGCATGGAAACTGTCCTTAAGACGTGACAAGAGCCCGTTAAATTTTTATCCGTCATGTTTTATTTTTAAATCTTTCAAAAATTGTTTACTCTTCTCGAATTTTCTATTCCATGCCAATTGTCACGAGAAACGTTCCTGAATCTGCTTGCAACTTTGACTCGTAAGTCGTTGCAATTCCAGGAAGCATAATTGCATCGCTCAGGATCCGATATCTATGACCGCCGACCAGCGAGACCAGTTTTCAACCGGCGAACAATGTATTTGCATTTTCTTTTGCCGCGCCGTGTTCAAGGTATCTGGTTTCTGGATGTTATTTATAAACGCAACAGGAAATCAAAATGGCGAATGCGCACGAGAGGGTATGCAAAGTGGGAGTTAA